CTCTCCAATATCTCTGCCTGACGCATTTCAAAGTATTGTCGTTGAACTGAATTGAGTGTTGAGAGATCCATCTTCATGATATCGTCATCTTGTTTCTTCTGTTTTAGCTCTATTTTTTGATTGGCGTTTTGCTTCATCCACGCGAAAGCCTCTCCCATGATGGACGTAGCGGATCCAGAGCTTTCCACATTTTGTTTCCTCTTGAGCTTTGCCGCTTTCCTCCCTTCAGGCCTTACTACCACATCATCCGAGTCAATGTTCAACCCGATGGGGGTCGTTGGCATGGAATTGTTTGGTGAGGAATCAGAGGTAGCGATTCTTCTCGGCTGTGATCGAATCTTATTGTAAGATTCCATTTGTTGGATCCACTTTTGATGATGACGCAACTCAACCCAGCAATGGTCAAACACGAATGGTTTACCATAAAGAGATTGGTATAATTCTTTTACTTCTGCAGTCTACACAAGAGTTAATTTTAGAATAATCAAACATAATTAAACATATTGAATCTGAGCAAAAATAATCAAACATAATTAAATATTTACCTGGTCAATAATTCCCGTACCAGATCTTTGTCTTCCTTCAATCTGAGCAACGCACCCGCAGAACTTGTTGACGGACAGTTGAATCGTTGACCAACGATGCATCATTTGGTTTGGCGTGCGGCTCGTTGGATCGGTGGAGTATAGGATAAAATAGTCGTTAGCTCGGTGCCAAAACTTATCTTTGTGTTGCCCCGTACCTTGGATGGCGTCTTGGCTCGTGTTCAGCCAAGCAGACACAAGAAGCTTATCCTCGTGGACAGTCCAATTTTCGGACCGCGTGTAAGCCTTCTTCTTCTTTGTGGTCGGTGTTTCTTGGGATGACACTTGTTGTGTTGCCGATTGCGAGAACTCAATAGGGTGACCTTCTTCTACGCCTTCTGTATAGAACGACGGGTATAAGGTCGATCCTTCACCGGTAAGGAGTTCTGAATAAAAGTTTTGGGAGGGATCCATGAGATTTGTAATTTGATAGGAAACTATAGAGTTTTTTATGAGAGAATTGAGAATTGAGAATTGAGAGTTGTGTGGAAATCTTTGTGGAGTGAATTGAGAATTTATAGAAGAATTTTTTACTGTTCATGCCAGTTTTTTCATCTCAACGGATAAAAATCTTTCACTCAACGTTAACTTTTTAACTGTTCAATTCAACTCAACGGATAAAAATCTTTCACTCAACGGATAAAAATCTTTCACTCAACGTTATTATATTTTTTTCTTTTCTCACTCAAAGCAACAGACCCCAAACCCCAACTCAAAATCCGTCATCTTCAACCCGTCATCTTCAACCCCAAACCCCCAATCTCAAAATCCCCAATCTCTCTCTCCTCTCCCGTCACCTTCAACCCCAAACCCCAAACCCCAAAGCCACGACGTCCACAACCTCCTCTTCGCCTCGCGGTTCTCTTCGGCTACGACGGCCACAAGGTCTGGCTCCCCAATCTCCAACCCCAAACCCCAAACTCCAAACCCTTCGGCCACGACGACCACGACCTCCTCTTCGCCTCGCGTTCCTCTTCGGCAACGACGACATCAAGGTCTGGTCCCCAACCCCAATTCCTCTTCGGACTGATTCCTGATTTGACCATCGCCACGTCAGCCTTCAGAGCTGAGTTCGGAGCTTGCTGGACCTGCTCTTAAGGAGGTTATGTGAGCTCCCCAATCTCCAAAAAAAATTAGTGGGGGGTGGTTGTGAAATTAACCGACCTTTGATACCAATGTGGGGGATTGGCAACAACCATCGCCACGTCAGCCTTCAGAGCTGAGTTCGGAGCTTGCTGGACCTGCTCTTAAGGAGGTTATGTGAGCTCCCCAATCTCCAAAAAAAATTAGTGGGGGGTGGTTGTGAAATTAACCGACCTTTGATACCAATGTTTTTATTTGTCTTAGTAGTTTGTCTTGTTATTTATTCGTAAGGCCTTTAGTCTGTACTATTTGAGAAATTTCCAAGATCTGACGTCAGGTTTTGTGTAAAGCACATACGGGAAGGCCTGTTCGTTTGGCCAAAAAAAACCTGGAAATCAAAAAATAGGAAACCTATTTCCTATTATAATGGTTTTGAAGTTGTTTGGTTGGCTTAAAAAAGAAGGAAATTATAGAATAGGAGATGAGATGAGATGAGTTGTCACCTTATTATTGGATGATGTGAGTGGTTTTTTAAAAAAACTTGTTTTGAGGTTGTTTGGTTGGTTAAAAAAATAAGGAAATGAATTGGAGGTATATTATTGGATGATGTTTTGAGGTTGTTTGTGTTTGGTTCATTTTTAAAAATAAGAAAATAGATGAGATAAGATGAGTTGGAGGTATATTATTGGATGATGTGACACATACTTAAGGAAATCAAAGTGATTTTTTAAAAAAAACTTGTTTTGAGGTTGTTTGGTTGGTTAAAAAAATAAGGAAATGAATTGGAGGTATATTATTGGATGGTGTTTTGAGGTTGTTTGTGTTTGGTTCGTTTTTAAAAATAAGAAAATAGATGAAATGAGATGAGTTGGAGGTATATTATTGGATGATGTGACACGTACTTAAGGAAATTGATTTCTTGTTTTTTTTTGAGGAAATGGATGGAAAGGAATGTTTAATGAGATGAGATGAGTTGTCACAATATTATTGGATGATGTTTGTGATTTTTAAAAATGAGATAAAATGAGATGTGATGAGTTGGATGATGTGACACATTTCTTGTGTTTGGTTTATTTTTAAAGGTAAGAAAGGAGATGAAATGAGATGAGTTGGAGGATAAAAATAATATTTTATTAGATGTTGTGGTGAGTTTTAGGGATGGAAATGGATAAAAATATTATTTTATTGATTTCCTTGTACCGATTTCCTTTTCTTGGTTTTTAGGAAACCAACCAAACAGCCCCTTAGTGACGTTCAAAGATCTCCTGTGGGGTGCTGCCAGGGCCCACAACATTGGAAGAATTTAAAAATATGGATGTCCAAGATAAATGACGTACCCCTATAAAGGGTAATGAGGCCCACAAGTGATAGGGCTATCCTATTCCACCACTGGACGATGACTCGTTTTTACTCAAATTGGCATTGGGCCGTGCGTGTTGGTGAATAATTTATGTGAGAGTTTAAACAACTCCATTCTTTTTACCAGAGCAAAGTCAATTTTGACTTTACTGGAGCAAATAAAATACAAGACACTAGAAGAAAACATGTAACATGTAAAGATCTATAAAATTAAAAACTTTCCAAATCATAAAAATATTATTTCTGAACCACAAAAATAAATAAATTATTTACAAAAATTATCCAAATTTTTTTTGTCAAATTCTCCCTGTTTTATCTGTTTTTTTTCTAATAACTATATTGAATTTTTAGCGTGTTCTTAAGATTATTCTAGCAATAATCATGAGGATTATTTTATGAATATTTTAAAACCAAATGTATATTTTTAATTAAGTTGAAATTCTAATATAAGCATGACAAGGTTGAGGTTTAAGTGTGAGATTGTTTTAAATTAAATCAATATGTGAATATCTTATATGTCACCAAAACTTTTAAAAAAAATATAATATAACGTCAACATAAGATGACTTTGACGGCTGAAAAAATCTTTGATGGTTAAACTATGTAAGTTTAAATCTTAAATTTTGAATTAAAAATCAACCATTAAGTTTTAAACTATTTGAAGAAAAAGCTCCAGCTCAGCTTATCTAATTTTCAATAATCTATATGCTATAAGTCAGTGGCATAAGCCATTTGTATGCTCATATCTATAAAAATAAAAAAGAGCAACAACTCAAAGAAAGTTGTTTAATTCAATTTAGAAGCACACACACATGATTAAAGAAAAAACTCGTAGAGACCGAACAAATTAAATATAAAAAATTCAGACACCTAGCCATCCAGGCTAATGATGTGGATTCAGTTCTCATTAC